GAGCAGCTGGTGGGTTTGAACCACCAACCTTTAGGTTAGCTGCCAAGTGCTTAACCACTACACCACCAGGGCTCCTTTTAGGATGGGATTCCAAAAAACCAAACCCATTGCCATCGAGTTGACCCTATAGGACAAAGTAGGACTGTCCCATAGGGTCTTCAAGGCTATAAACCTTTATGCAAGCAGACTGCCACATCTTTCTCCTGTAGAGCAGCTGGTGGGTTTGAACCACCAACCTTTCGGTTAGCAGCCAAGTGCTTAACCACCGTGCCACCAGGGCTCCTTAAGTTGGGGTTAGGATCCCTAAAATAGCCTTACAGATATCTGTTCTGCTGGAGATAAGATCTGAGTTTCATCGTTTACTTGCAGACTTGAAATGTAGCTACAAACTTGTCCTTCTTCCTGACTTCTTTTGCTTTCATGAAGAAAGGAGGTAAACCTTCCACACAGCAGTCTTTTGTTCATAGGCTGGTTCCTATTCCTGCATGTAACTGCCCTTCATTTAGCTAATACTTACTGAGCACCTCCGTGCTGGCCCTGTGGAAGGTGATCCGTAAGGTTAATTCATTTAATTCTCACAACACTTCTGCAAGGTGAATATTGTTATCCCCATTTTCAGGAAAAGGAAACTGAGTTCCACCAAAGCTAAGTGACTTGCTGAAGTTACAAAGTAAATGGTGGAGCTGGCTGGGAGCCTTGGTCCCCAAAGGGAAGGGCCTGTGCTCTCCCCATTATACTACCCTGCTAGTTGCTGTATCTAATTAGGTATGTTCTACTATATTCATGTAATTTTAGGTTATTGACATCCTCTGCCTCATACGTCATGATGGGGAGTTCTTGATTTTCAGTAGAAAAAGAGCATGATACGGTGGAAAGAAGGCTGAACTAGGAGTTAGGTAACCTCGGTTTGGTCTTGGCCCTGCCAATAAGTTGGGCGAGTCACTTTTTATCTTAGGGCCTTGGTATCTTCCTCTCTAAAATTACGGGATTAGGCTAGTTAGTCATCCAGCCATCTCTCTGATACTCAAACACTAGTCCACAGGGAGGACCGCTGAGGCTCCTGGGCAGGGCTGGGTCTCCCATCTGAGGTGAAGCTAAGCTTTCATTTATTTCCTTCTCTGCACAAAGGAGGGGCAGGCTTCCACAAAAAGCTGGGCAGAAGCTGGGATGGAGTTGGCTTGGGTGGCTGGGTGGGTTCCCAACGGTAAGACTTCTATTTCCTTCCTTTTGGGCAACATCATCAGACGATGATCCACCCTGATGCTGAGAAGAGACCTTCTGCAGGGACTCTGGCCAGAAATCAAGTCCTGTGTCCCTCCCTGGGGAGAACAGAAGAGCTCCAGCAGCAGCTTAACTTGGAAAAGGTCAAGACAGCCACACTGGAAAGGTAGATTTTGGATGTTGGAGTCAAAGAATCTATGCCTACCACTCACACTGGTATGCCTAGTCTGCTGTGTCTTCCACATGGACTCAGGCGGAACTGAACATTCTAATACCTAGACCTCTGCCCACAAGGAAGATGGCAACATGAGGTCCTTTGTGTAGCATGGGGCTGGGAGGCTGCTTGAGAGAGAAAATGCCAGTATATGCAGCAAAAGCGTAAGTGAGGAATAGAATACAAGGACGTACAACTGGTGAAGAAAACTTGTAGGATTCTGAGTGACAGCAGGTACCCACATAACTGTTGGGTGATCTCCTAGTGTAAGATAACTGTAGGTGAGGTGGGCAGAAACATACCTTACAAACCCATTAAGTTTCAGGATAAGCAGGCAGACAGGCACACAGTCTGGGTACGTGTTTAGAGGAAGAGGTATTTTCTGAGCAATCAGTCCAGTCTCTTAATCATGTAGGCTAGTATTCATGCGTGCACTTATTTATTAATCCATTCCTTCATCAAACAATGGGAAATAATTAGATGGGGGCTGGGTTTGGGGAAGAGGTCAGGCAATGATGTTTGAACAGAATTCTGAAGACATTTTTCAATGATTATTACGTACATTGTGCATTGCTGAAAATATAAAAAAGGAGATAAAAATGGTTTTTGCCTAAAATAAGCTTAGAAGTCCAACTACTTTTGGATTCAGTATCTGTCTTGGAAAGACTGGCTTGAAAAGTCCCCCATATGATTTCTTGGTAATAAGTTGTGGGGACACTAAGCCTTTAATCAGGTAACTCTTCCTAATAGGGAATTAATATGTTTTTGCTCTAGTTTTGAATCCCATTTTCATAAATGAAGTACATTTATTGAATGTACTTCACTCAGTAAATGAAGTACAAAGGTATAGATAGATAGGTATCTATACCTATAGTTCACAAGAACAAAGGTATCTCTTACAGTGCTCATGTACCTTCTGTGAAGCCAGCTGTGGAGGCTCGACTGACTGGCATTAGCCACCCCTAGGATGGACCTCATCACACAGAGGGGGCAGATGTCTTCTAAAATGGTCCAGACCAGAGGTTGGCCAGCTTTTTCTGTAAAGGGCCAGCTAGTCAATGTTTAAGGCTTTGTGGGCCGTATGGTCTGTGTTGCCACTGTTCTGCTCTGCTCTTGTAGTGTGAAAACAGCTCTAAAAAACAAAACGAAACAAAACAAAAGTTGCCGTGGAGTTGATTCCAACTCGTAGTGACCCTATAGACCAGGGTAGAATTGTTTCATAGGGTTTCCAAGGCTGTAATCTTTACAGAAGCAGATCGCCAGATCTTTTCTCCTGTGGAGCCACTGGGTGGGTTCAAACCACTGCCCTCTTGAGTAGTTTAATCACTGCACCACCAGTGCTCCTTGAAAGCAGCCCTAGACAGTACGTAAACAACTGGGTTTGGCTGTGTTCCAGTTAGGAGTCCTCGGTGGCACAAACGGTTAAGTGCTCGACTATTGGCCTCAGAAAAAAGGCCTGGCAATGTGCTTCCAGAAGGTCACAGCCTTGAAAACCCTATGGAGTACAGATCAACTCTGCATACATGGGGGCTCCATGAGTCAGAATCAACTTGATGGCAACTGGATTGGTTGTCTTGATTTGGTGTCCCAGGAAAGTCTTATTTACAAAAACAAGCGGTGGGCTGGATTTGGCTGTGGTTTGCCAACTCCTGTAGCTTCATACATAGCCTGTGGCATGGTTCGCTTAATGTCTTGAATTTTAAAGACCATTGAAGCTGCCATCAGTAGGTTTTGGAAAACTGAACCTGCTATCCCCTGTGGCATGTGGGTGTCAGCCATTTTTTATGACATCACAGGAACGAAATTTTCCATTGAAGCTCAGGCTTGTTTCTGTAAATCCTGAAATAAAATGAAAACTCTGTTTCCGTGCTGGTTTTGATCATAAATATTATCTCTCGCTGGGGGTTAAGTAACCTACACTTCCCCCCTGTCGTTTGTTGCCAGGGAACTGAGAGAAGTCCAGCAGACCCAGTCCCCCAAGGAAGACACTCACCCCGGTGAGCCTAAGGATTCGGGCGCTCACTCAGGATCAAGAAGCGCCAAACACCTGGTGGGAGGAAAGAGCACGAGGTCTTCAAGCTTCACCTTTGGGAACTCCTGAGGGGATACAGTTTCATTTTCCCTTTTCTCATTCCTATAAGAACTCATTTCACATCAGCCATCCTTCCACTCTGTAGCTTCTAGAAATGGATATTGACTATCCCAACCTGCCTCTGATGACCTGGAAACATTAACCAACTTGAACGCCCTAAGATTTCAGGAGCCACTCCTAATTGAGCATTCCCAGCCAAGACCCTAAGGCTATCACGGCTTCTTATTAGCAGTCATCCCCAGTACAATCATTGGTAGCCATTTCTCTTCTCTATTGTTATATTCTCAACACTACCTTTGAAAAATTTATTCATGTCTCACATTTGTTGATATACAAAGGGAAATCATGGGCCTCAAAACTGAAAGGAAAAAAGGAAGTAGCCCTCCGCGTGGCCTATGGACCAAGAGGTTGCTGTTGCCATTACCCACCAAGGATCCTGGGCACTCTGGCGGTACGCAGAAAGGAGCACAACTTGGTTTTCAGTGGACGTAACAGCTTGTAAGAAAATGAGCTTGGATTTCAGCAGTGCGTCTTGTGTTATATGATGCTGTAAGTAAAAGAATTCTCAGGCGCTTTGTACAAGTGATTCTCCTAGGTGTTTTCTGGATGGAGGCAATCCCTCTCTCTGACACTGTATTTATTAAATAAATGACTTCGCCATTACATTAGGTAGGTAGAAGTAAGACAAAATATAACTTGAACATTTATGTGCTGGCTGTTAACTTGTGGAACAAAAACACCCGGAGTAGAGGGCTCGAGGGAAATTTGACTTGGCTGTTCTCCCCCAATCTACTTGCCCTGATCCTCTCGTGGCTATTATGGTGTTTTGATTTTCTGGGCATTCCCAGTTTCTCTTGATCTTATGATCAGAATTTGCGTTTGTTTCCTGTCATTTTTTTTTCACATTTTATTCAAATCTCTTTCTCTGTATATATTTTTAAAGGAATAGAACATTTTTAAATAAAGGTTTTTATCTTTTCCAAAGCCAGATATTGGTAAAGTACTCTTCTTTGCAATATGTAGCTAACAAAGACTGAGAATCTTGTGTTGGAAAATGCCTCTTAAGTAGATAGGTGAGAAGATTCAGTAGATTGATAGTAACAGGTCTTGGCTGCAAGGCTCAGCTTTATAGGCCCAAAAGCCGATAATGGTCAGGCTCTGGTGTAAAATAACATTGGTCATAAGGGTGTTTGATAGCTTCTATTTGAGTCATCCACCACCTGTCTGTCAGTCTGTTGTACTGTGGTGGCCTGCACGTTGCTATGATGCTGGAAGCTATGCCACCAGTTTTTCAAATACCAGCAGGGTCACTCATGGTGGACAGGTTTCAGCAGAGCTTCTAGACTAGGACGAATGAGGAAGAAAGGCTGGGGATCTACTTCAAAAAAATTAGCCAGTGAAAACCCTGTGGATCACAATAGAACATTGTCTGACTTGCTTGCTTTGGACATGTTATCAGGAGGGATCAACAACTGCTGGAGGAGGACATCATGTATGGTGAGTAGTGGGTCAGGGAGGGCGAGAGAGACCCTCAGTGAGATGGATTGGCCCAATAGCCACAACAATGAACTCGAGCATGCCGGCAATTGTGAAGATGACGCAGGACTGGGCAGCATTTCCTTCTGTTGTACATCAGGTTGCCATGAGTCAGAGGTGCCTCCATGGTGGATTACCTATCTATCTGTCCATCTGTCTATCCATCTACCCACCCATCCATCCAACCATGTCATATTAATGATGGTAACCGGTCAATGGTCTGTAGGTTTTTTCTGCTGCCTTATTTTCTTTCCACTTCACCTTTAAAAGCAAATTAAGGAGCTTTTTATTGAATAAATCCTCACACTATCCTTTGCTCTGCCTTGGAATAGCAATTCTTTTCATGCAGTTAAGTGGGATATAGTGCCCTGGACAGTCCATTTCCTCTCTGTTTTTTAAAAACTAAGTCTTTATTCAAGGTTTTAAAATTTATCTCTTGCTCTTCCCCCCACTCTCTTCCACACCAGGCCATGCCCTGTGCAGTATAAGGCAAGGTCAACCACAATTTGTGATTTAGAAACAGGTATATTAAGTGACACAATGTATTGACTATAATTCATTGGTTATACTTGTCTTCATAGGCATTGATAACTACCACTTTTAGGGTCCACAGCCCCATCTCTGCCGTGTTCATCAAAGCCCGTCCTATCCCCCAAAAGGATCTGGTACCAGATTATTGATTTCTCTCTCTGTCTTTGTTGGACTTGATAGTAGCAGGAAGTCACCAAAATAGCACGTAGCTGCCTAGACAGTCTTCAGAGTGAGAGGGAGTGGATCTCACTGGTGTTGGGATTTAATCCTGTCTACTTCAGTTAGAACTTTACCCCTTGCCTCAGTAAGAAGTTCGATGCTCAGTCAGGAAGTTCTATTTCTGCACTGAGACCATGATATAACCCTGGAACTAATTATCAGAATTATTTCATTAACATCATCGGGTTGGCAACACTAAGGAGTTAAATTGAAACGCTTTAGGAGATAAGCAGTTGCTTTTCTATGGATGTATCTTATACATAACCCTGATGCTGACCATGTGTCCACAGATAATCTTGACACTTATAGTTAAATAAGTAACTCTTGTGCTTTGCTGGTCTCAGCTCTAACGCATGGACCCATCTATCATTGTTGGTTGCTGTTGATTTGGCTCCAACTCATGGCGACTCCATGCACAACAGGATGAAATGTTGCCTGGTCCTGCGCTATCTTCATGATCATCGGTATGCTTGAGTCCTTTGTTGCAGCCGCTGTGTATTTCGAGTGCCTTCCAATTTAGGGGGCTAATCTTCCAGCACTGTATGGTACAGTATTCTGTTGTGACCCATAGGGTTTTTACTGACTAATTTTCGGGAGTAGATCGTCAGGCATTTCTTCCTAGTCTGTGTTAGTCTGGAAGCACTGCTGAAACCTGTCCACCACAGGTGACCCTGCTGGTATTTAAAATACCGGTGGCATAGCTTCTGGCATCACAGCAACATGCAAGCCACCACATTATGACAATCTGACAGGTGGGTGGTGGGTACCAATCTATAGAAGCCATTTATCTAAGGCTGTAGAAAGATTAACATTGAAGACAAATGTCAACGTTTGAGCCTGAACAATTACGCTTTTTCACCTAGATGAATTACACCATCAATCTTATATAAAAGTTGTCAGTTTGATTTTTTTTAACTCAACAAAAAATAGCCGTATTAACTACAAAGTATTGCTAAAATTGCTTTTGAACCACCTTAAAATCTATGCTAGTAATCAGTTTAAGTAATAAGTGCTGTAATTTTTCAACATTTTTGATGAGGCTTTAGGAAAACTGATTTAAAAACCAAAGGGAAAAATTAAAATAAATTAAAAAAAAATAGCAACAAAATTACCCAAAGCTTCCTATCTAAGACAAAACATTGCCAGCCCTCTCTCTCCTGATTGACTAGGAACTCTTTTGATTTAGTGGGAAACTGAAGCCAGGGCCAAGGGTAACTTTGTGGCCCTGGGCATATGTAATACACACTTTTCTTTCTCAGTTAGTTTTGCAAAGGATGAAATCCCTGAATTTGTCCACTGCTGCCAGGTGTAATGGGAGCTGATCAAAGCCCCATTCTACCTGTCACTACTTCTCAGCATTGGGAAGGCCTTTTCTGGGTCCGTGAATGAACTACAGAAAGTCTATAACTATGTAAAAGTGTGTGTGTGTGTGTGTGTGTATGTGTGTGTGTATGTGTATGTGTGTGTGTATGTGTGTATGTGTATGTGTGTGTATGTGTATATGTGTGTGTGTGCATGTGAGAGAGAGAGACAAGGACAGGTTTCAGGGCTCGGTCATCAAAATGCCGATTGTAGAGTCTTGAAGGGGTGTCCCTAATACCAACCACATTTGAGCCTCTCTTCAAGGCCCTTGCTGCTTTCTTTGTTCTTCTAATTTCAGAAATATTCGAGTCCCTTATGCGCTCTTCCTGTTTTGTCTTCCTGTGTCTTTGCTTTGGCCTGTGACCTGAGCCTTCTAAAGCCTGTCCTTGTTTTAAAGCACACTGCTAACTGGACATTCACAACAAGGTCCCTGTCTTCTAGGGGGGTCACAACCAGTGGAGAAGAGGGGCCACCTTCATGACCATTTGAATTATAATACGAAGTAGACTGCATGCAAAGACAATGAAATGAGAGAACAAAGGAAGGAGGGACTCTTGGTTTAGAGTCTTGAAAGGATGGGGAGGGCTTTCCAGATGCAGAGGACACTGAGGGCAAAGCCACGCTGGTGTTTGCCGCACTGGGAAGTGGGGGAGGCAAAAAAAAATTGATAATAGAAGAAAATGCTCTAACTCAGTCCCTCCAGGACATTATACTTAAAAAAAAATGTTGAACATGTTTTTCTTTGCCAAAGGTGGGGAGGGGAATTAAGGTAGCAAGACTTGCAAACTTGTCCAGCCAACTGTCTAAGGAGAAAGTGTGTATTGCTAATTCCCGTCTGAGAGAGAGTTCAGATTAGCCCAGACTCTCTGTTAAGCTGTTATTTATAAAGTTATAGGAGCTTCCGCAAGGCTGTCTGTTTTCAACATGCATGGTGCTTTCTGCTTTCTTCCTTAAACAGCTTTTCCCACAGCTTGAAGTATTTGTGAATGGAAACGAAGAGACGAGAGATTAGGGGCATAATGAAGAAAGAAGTTTTAGAGCCAAGTTATTAGATATGGGTGAATGCATATGAATGAACGGGGACAAGATTTAAAGATGATTCCAAAGTTCAAGTCTGAGAGGGTGCTGGTACCATTAAAAAAACAAGGAAGTTAGAAGGGGGCATTGGTTTTGGAAGAGAGGCTGAATTTAGTTTTTCAATTCGACTTGACAGCCCAAGTGAAAGTAGAATTTTTTTTTTTTAATTTTATTGTGGTTAAAAATATATAATAAAAAATTTGCCATTTTAACCATTTTAAGTGTATAGTTTAGTGATGTTAATTACAATCATGTGCAACCATGACAACTATGTATTTCGAAACGTTTTACATCACCCCAAAGAGAAACTCAGCATCCCTAAGCAAGAACTCCCTGTTTCCCCTGCCCCCACCCATGGTAAGCACTAATAAACATCTGTCTCTCTGCATTTGCCTATTCCGGGTATTTCATAGGTGGGATAATATCATACTTGTCCTCTTGTGTCTAGCTTCTTTCGTTTAGTGTAATGTTTCAAGGTGTATCCATGTCGTAGAATGTGTCAGAACTACATTTCTCTTTATGGTTGAATAATATTCCATGGTCTGTAAATAGTGTTCTTTTTTTTTTTTTAAACAGGAGATCATTGGAGGGCATTGGCAGTAGTAACATAGAGGAAGGGATGGGGGACAATTAATCCTGTGTGGAAGCCTGAAGGCAGTATAACACGGTGTCTTTCAGGAACTAAACTTTGTGAAGGTGGAAGTAAAATGGAGATGTTATTAGTCGATTTTGACTCATGGTGACCCCATGTATGCAGGGTAGAATTGCTCCACAGGGTTTTCAAGGCTGTAATTTTTGGAAGCAGATCACCAGGCTTGTCTTCCCAGCTGCCTCTGGGTGTGTTCCAACTGCTGACCTTTTGGTTAGTAGTCAAGTGCTTAACTTGGAGATAAGCTTCCAGAAATATGCCAGCTAGTGAGCCAGACTTTGAGGAGCAGGCTAAGGTGTACCTTGCAAACCTTGCTAAGTAGTTTAGACTTTAAGGGCAAGAATGGGCCACTGAAGGATTTTAAGTAGGAGTTCAGCGGGCAAACTGGGGGGAAGACTTCCTCTTCAGGAACCCTGACAGTACAGGGAAGGGAGATGGAAAGGCTAGGGAGGCCCCCTCTGGCCAGGATTCTACCAGCTGCAGGGCACGTGCACACAACAGGGCCAGGATTAATGATACTTCAATGCAATATTTAAAAAAAAGTTAGATGAAAATTAATGAAAAAATCCATGATAAACAAAATATCAAAATTTTAAATAAAAACAAGATCAGTAAGCTCAAGTTAATTAAAAATTATTTAAGAATGCTGCTTGACCCGATCGGCATAACATAGTTCATAATGAAAATACTCTACATCCTACTTTGGTAGCTAGCATCTGGGGTCTTAGAAGCTTGTGAGTGGCCATCTAAAATACTCCACTGGTCCTACCCTGTCTGGAGCAAGGGAGAATGAAGAAAACCAAAGACACAAGCGAAAGATTAGTACAAAGGACTAACGGACCACAACTGTCGCAGCCTCCACCAGACTGAGTCCAGCACAACTAGATGGTGTCCAGCTACCACCACCAACTGCTCTGAATCACAATAGAGGGTCCCGGACAGAGCTGGAGAAAAATGTAGAACAAAATTCTAACTCTTACTGTTCTGACAGAGAATGGAGAAACCCCGAGAGTATGGACCCCAACACCCTTTTAACTCAGTACTGAAGTCACTCCTGAGGTTCACCCTTCAGCCAAAGATTAGACAGGCCCATTCAACAAACGATAATAATGTATCTCAACCATGTATACAAGACTAAATGGGCACACCAGCCCAGGGGCAAGGACGAGAAGGCAGGAGGGGACAGGAAAACTGGACGAATGGAAATTGGGAAGCCAAACTTGAGAAGGGGAGAGTGTTGACATGTTGTGGAGTTGGCAACCAATGTTACAAAACAATATGTGTATTAATTGTTTAATGAGAAACTAATTTGCTCTGTAAACCTTCATCCAAAGCACAATAAAAAAAATAAGTAAATTAAAAAGAAAAAAACTGCTACTTGGTCACCAAAAATTGTCAGACATGGCAATTCTCTCAACTGGAAACAAGCTAAGCGAAGAAGTAGATTTTGAAAATATTATTGATGAATTTACTTCTATTAAAGCCAGGAAAATAAAATAATTCTGTTTTTGGTAGAAGTAAAATATTTAAACTTAAAATAATGTCGTGAGTCTTAATACACCTACTTTTCAAATTTTCAATATTTCTTCAACTACTTTGTCATGTGCTGCTTAATCAAATTTGAGTCATAGCGACCCCATGTGACAGAATAGAACTGCCCCACAGAATTTTCTACGTTGGTCTTTTTTTTTAATACCTTTACCATAGCAGATCTCCAGGTCTTTCCCTTGCAGAGCTGATGACTGGGTTCCAACTGCCAACCTTTCAGTTAGCAGCCAAGTACCTAACTGCCGCACCACCAGTACTATCTTCACCTACTTTGTTGTTAAGTGCCATCAGGTCAAATCTGACTCATAGCGACCCTATGTACAACCGAACGAAACACTGCCCGGTCCTGCGCCATCCTCACAATAGTTGTTATGCTTAAGCCCATTGTTGCAGCCACTATGTCAATCCATCTCACTGAGGGTCTTTCTCTTTTTCGCTGACCCTCTACTTTACCAAGCATGATGTCCTTCTCCAGGGACTGGTCTCTCCTGAAAACATGTCCAAGGTACATAAGACAAAGTCTCGCCATCCTCGTTTCTAAGGAGCATTCTGGCTGTACTTATTTGAAGACAGATTTGTTTGTTCTTTTGGCAGTCCATAGTATATTCACCCACACCATTATTTCAAAGGCATCATTTCTTCAGTCCTGATTCATTGCCCAGCTTTCACATGCATATGAAGTGATTGAAAATACCATGGTTTGGGTCAGGCACACCTTAGTCCTCAAAGTGACATCTTTGCTTTTCAACACTTTAAAGAGGTCTTTTGCAGCAGATTTGCCCAATGTAATGCGTCCTTTGATTTCCTGACTGCTGCTTCCATGGGTGTTCATTGTGGATCTAAGTAAAAGGAAATCCTTGACAACTCCAATCTTTTCTCCGTTTATCATGATGTTGCTTATTGGTCGAGTTGTGGGGATTTTTGTTTTCTTTATGTTGAGATGTAATCCATACTGAAGGCTGTAGTCTTTGATCTTCGTCAATAAGCACTTCAAGTCCTCTTCATTTTTAGCAAGCAAGGTTGTGTCATCTGCATATCACAGGTTGTTAATGAGTCTTTTTCCAATCCTGATGCCACGTTCTTCTTCATATAGTCCAGCTTCTGGGATGATTTGCTCAGCATACACATTGAATACGTATGGTGAAATGATACAATCTGACGCACACCTTTCCTGACTTTAAACCACACAGTATCCCCTTGTTCTGTTCCAATGACTGCCTCTTGGTCTATGTATAGGTTCTTCATGAGCACAATGAAGTGTTCTGGAATTCTCGTTCTTCAAAGTGTTATCCACAATTTGTTATGATCTATGCAGTCAAATGCCTTTGCATAGTCAATAAAACACAAGTAAACGTCTTTCTCGTATTCTCTGCTTTCAGCCAGGATCCATCTGACATCAGCAATGATACCCCTCTCAACTACTTTAATGTTCTGGAAAAAAAATTTTTTTGAAAACATGTATATGGGGTGCACATACTTCCTTGGGCCTCAGGCTCCAATATAATTCAGCAAGGCAGGCACTGATTCTGTATTTATTTAAAAATTTTAAAAAGATCTTTTGTTCACTTTTTCCCTTAATTTTTTACTTTAAAAAATATTGCAGTAAAATATTATTTATCTTGATTGTCCATATCTTGGTGCCTCTTACATCTCCCACCCCCAATTTGGTTTTCATTTAGCTAGCCAAAGGTAAGGTTCACTGGTTCAAACCCACTAGCCGCTCTGCAGGAGAAAGAAATCTGCTTCCGTCACGATTACAGCCTTGGAAACCCCATGGGGCAGTTCTACATGTCCTATAGGGTCGCTGTAAGTTGGAATCAACTCGAAGGCAATGGGTTTAGGCAACTGGCTTGATGTCTGGTTTAGGAGGCCAGGACCACCGGGCTTCCGCTGCGGGCGGAGCTATTTTCGGGTTTCGTCCCCTCCTGGGCCGGGTTGGGGACGTCATCAAACAAACGCGCCAAAATCAGCCGGTCGCGGCGGATAGGAAGCTCCCGGCACTCTCGAGTCAGGGGCAGTGTTTCCCGCGAGGCTGGCCGGCTGCATTTCTACGACGCACGCCGCGGACCCTCTGCTTCCGCTTCCTTCTCTCGCACACGGGCCTGCGTACCGGTGCATCCGAAGGTGCTCTCTGCTGATGCTGTCAGGGCCGCGGCCTCAGGTGAGGCCGTAGAGCGGGGCGCGAGGCTCGCCGGGCCGGTGCCTGGCCCTCATCTTCGCCCTCGTGCAGGACTCCGCCTCCCCGCGCCGCCTGGGGGGAGGACGCCCGCCCACCTCGGCGGGAGGCCGGCGCGGGGGTCTCCAGTCCTGCGTGGTCTTCGCTCTCGGGGGTGGAGGCCGGCATTTATGCAGAAACAGGTTCAGATTTAAGTCCGTTGGTGGTATTATAGTATTTATTGAGCGCTTACTGTGTGCGAGGAACTGAAAATGTAGCATTGAATAAATCAGACGGAAATCTCTGTCCTCCGTGGACTGGAAATGGAAGAACTCAGACCTTTTGCACGGGAAGAGGAGGTTACGTGGGATCAGAGAGACGTACAGACGAGCGTGGGGCGTGAGTTATTTTGGGGGGAAGGCGAGTCCTCGTCAGACGTGCAGGGATGTTGTGAGGTTGCGGGTGTGAGTGCATCGCAGTCACGTTGTCGCGTGTCAAGTCGATGCCGACTCAGCCACCCTGTAGGGGTCTTGCAATTCGGAATTTAGGAGGGGTGGACGTGGACTTGTGGTCTTGCTGTCAGATGTGCTTAATTCATCTTTTTTTTTTTTCTTTCAGGAAAAGACTAAAATTAGACAGTGAGAAAAGAAAAGAGAAGCCATGTTTCGAAGACCTGTATTACAGGTAGTTGCTTGTGTGTATTAGTGCTGGTATCTGTTAGCAGCCAAAGGGTGGATTTCTTCAAGCTTTTCACTTCAGGGGTAAAAGGCCTTTGAGGCCCCCCACCCACCCCCTGGGTCCTCATTTGATATGGAGGTTTGGGGACCCCGGTTTTATCTGTATAAATAATGTCCATTAAAACGAAACATTTTAAAGTTTATTCACATGCGTGGTAGGAATCAGTTACATTTTTTTAAAAAAGAGTGCGTTTGTTAAAATTTGCATGTAGATCACTTAAGGAGCCTTTAAGGTCTTCAGTGATATGGAGACTGAGAATTTTTGTTAGCGATTTAATGTAGGGCGTGTGATTCCTTTTCTGACCTTCTGCCTCATGCCACCCCCACGCCCATCTCCCTACACTGAGGGGAGTACCTGAAGTCTCTGCACGTTTGCATACTCAGTATGTCCAGAATGGAATTCCTCATTCTACCCAGGCCGGCTGCTGTCTATCCGTCACCCTAGACAGCCTTGAGCCATCTTAGACTACCTCTTTCCTTCATTTCAAGCACTAAGTCTTGTAAGTTCTAACCTTTTGACACCTCTTTCCTACTGTCCATCCTCCTGTTAAGACTAATTAAGAAACAATTTCTCTATGAACTCTCCCCATCTCTGCCCCCTACTGTAGAATCGACCTGTATTGCTGAGTCCCCACTTTATCCTGTACATACTTTTAGCATAATTTTTCATGTGTTGAAATGTGAGCATGAAAAAGTTACTGCTGTCTGTACAGTAGAAAGTTGGTTTTAAAACCAAATAGAAAAGTTAAAAGTCTAACAAAGAAAAAAAATTATCTAAGTTTAAAGTGTCCTTTCTGTGTCTCTGCTTCTCAACTAAGTCTTGATTATTTTGTGCCGAAAATGCCGTGTTGTTATTCTGTAAGCCTTACAAGTTCTGGCACATCTAAGCACTGAAATTAGTACGTTTCTAGAATCATGACAGGATTTCTTCCTGCTTAGCAGTGACTCTAGGTACAGGTTGGATTTACAGCCAGCGTCATAGTCTCTGTAGGAAAGTGTTTTGTTTTCATTTCACCTGTTGTGTACAAACACAAGAACTCTATCAGGAGGGCTGCCGTGAAAGAATGAGGAGGGGACTAGCAGGTAACCTCTCGGGTGAGCTCTCTGCTACATCCTTTGTGCCGTGGGCTTTTGGAGCAGGTTGCTCTTAAAGTGTTTGCCAGGCCCTTCTGGCGCTATGGTGGGAGGACGGGGGGAGAGTGTTCTTGTCTGTGAACGTGTGCTGAAGGAGCTCCGACTAAGAGACGCAGGTGGGGTGGTCTTCTCTCGCGTTTGTCTTCCCTGAGAAGTCAAAGCCTTGTTACTCTTTGTTCCCTTGCAGGTGCTTCGTTGGTGTGTGAGACATGAGTCTGAAATAGCTAGCAATTTCGTCCTGGAAAGATGTAAGTAGCTAATGTCCAAGTTTAAAAAACGTTATTTGTAGTAACGTGCTAACGTTCTCAGACGTGACAGCGAAGGGATGCCCTGCCGGGCTGTGGTCTGTTGCTTGCCACGCGGCTTACAGTTCATCTTTGCCCCTCAGGGCCTGGCCTTGCCCCACCAGGCCCCAGGAGCCTGGGATAAGTTGGGCCTTCTTCCCCTTACCACTCAGTCACTTTCACGCTCCTTGAGTCATGTTTGCTTAGTTCAGTTTTCCAACGTCGTGTGCTGCTGGGATAACAGAGTGAAAGTCTGTGGAGGCATTTTTTTCACAGAGAAATAATCCCTTATATTTATAAAGATTTTCGCATTTCAGATTTGTTCTTTTAACCACATACCAAACCAAACACATTGTCATCGAGTTGAATCCGACTCACAGTGACCCTGTAGGACAGAGTAGAATGCCCCATAGCTGCTTCCAAAGAGTAGCTGGTGGATTCGAACCACCAGCCTTTTGGTTAGCAGCTGAGCTTTTAACCTGTGGGCCACCAGGGCTCCCTTAACCACACCAAAACCAAAAAACCCCTTGCTGTCGAGTCAATTCTGACACGTAGCGACCCTTGTAAGACAGAGTAGAACTGCCCCCAAAAAGTGTTTTAAATAGGAATTTAAGATAAAGTGAAAGGCTTAAAGTCTGTTTTGTGGGGATGCTTTCTCTATGAATAATTTCTCCTTTCTTGCCTACCCTGTTTTCCCTCCCAGCCTCCTATGTTCTCCCTGAACAGATCTTTAGGGATCTTCTAGAACTTGGGCTTTGCCTAACGCAGATCAGTATTGACGTGGTGTTGGTAGCTGTTCCCTTCCTGGACTTTCTCGCGGCCCCCGGTGTTGACCTTTCTCAGCCTCATTCTGTCTCCACGTTGCATTTCAGCTCTGAATCGCGTGCAGTTACTGGGCCGAGTGGGTCAGGACCCCGTCATGAGGCAAGTGGAAGGAAAAAACCCAGTCACTATATTTTCTCTCGCAACCAATGAGATGTGGCGGTCGGGGGAGAGCGAGGTGTACCAAATGGGTGAGTATCAGAGACTGGGGTTTTATTTTTACCGGTGATGACGCAGATGTTATTTATTGCCAGTTGTCTGATAGGAGATAAGCTACTTTCAGAAAGGGTCTTCCTTCTCTAATTCTGTTCTCTTAGAAATTGTGACGTTGGTTTGCTGGCACGTTGTCTGTTGGCATTTGTTTTATCTGGTGGCATTTGTAACCATGTCTCCTTTTTTTGTGATTTAGGTGACGTCAGTCAAAAGACAACGTGGCACAGAATATCAGTATTCCGACCCGGCCTCCGAGACGTAGCGTATCAGTATGTGAAAAAAGGGTAAGTTGAGGAAGGAAGGATCTTGTAGGTTAAAAAGTTTAAAGAACTGATAACAGGTGTTCTCATGTCAGGAGACTCCTAACTCTGTTATCCTTGAGTATTGTAATTATTCTGTGCACAAGAGATGTTTTATTAAGCGAATTGCCATGTGTTGTGTGTAAAACCTTCTAAGAGCTTGTAATTTAGGACAAACAAGGTGTGTACATAAACAGAAGCCAAAACCCAAACCTGTTGCCTTCGAGTCAATTCTGACTCATAGCGACCCTGTAGGACAGAGTAGAACTACCTCATAGGGTTTCCAAGGCAGAAATCTTTACAGAAGCAGACTGCTGCATCTCTCTCCCATGGAGCAGCTGGTGGGTTCGAACCGCCAGCCTTTGGGTTAGCAGCTGAGTGCTTAACCACTGTGCCACCAGGACTCTTTAAATAGAAGCAGGTGAGGCAAAAGAGAAGGCAAAATGCATGAAGTGCCAACTGAGCAACTCCAAGTACTTTTAGGAGCCGCCACATCTCTGGGGCCAGGGACGTGAGGGTGTCTTGTCCCTTGGCGTCCACATACGTCCTGGGCAGAGGATCTGGGATGTGTGATGCTTGACACATTGGGTTAACCGAAAACAAAAACCAAGCCCGTTGCCATTGAGTGGATTCCGACTCACAGTGACCCTATAGGACGGAGTAGAACTGCTGCGTAGGGATTCCAAGGAGCGGCTGGTGGATTCGAACTGCCGACCGTTTGGTTAGCAGCTGTAGCACTAACCGCTGTGCAACCAGAGTTTTCACACATTGGGTTACTACAGTAATATTCACGGCAGTTATTTTGTGTTGGATAATTCTCTATAGACTTAGTGGCTGCTATTTGGAATGCTCGGATTGGTTATGTGTAGAAAGGATCTTTTCCAAACCCACAGGACAGGAGTGTTCAACAGCGATTGTAATCGTTGTCAGCACTTTAGAAACGCACTTGTCTTGTACAAACAAACGAAACCTAGTTCACGAAAAGTAATTTCAGCAGTGACTGAAATTTCTATTTCTCGTCAGTAACTGTGTGCCTTTTCTTCATCTGTGCCTCCACGGCCCTTTGTGTGTATGTGTGTGTGGGATTCACATCCTGGTGGGTGAATCTCTCTGTGTGTTTCTGTGTCCTTTGGCACCTTGTCATTTCGCTAGTTTTGTTTACTTCCTGGGTTGTACTTTATTGATGGTGGTGGACTCTGAGAACTGGTGCCGTTACAGTCATTTTCCACCCCCTAAAGTCATAGGTATGGCTGTCTTCTAGTTCGGCCTTCCAGATAGTGAAGAAATAGTACTTAGCTCTAAATGATACACTAAACTAAAAGCCTTCATTTTGGATTTTAATAATCTTAAGTCCCTTGAAAATAAGGTTATGAACCTCAGTATAGAAAGAAATAGATATATTGTCAGTGAAGGTCAACAGATCTCTTAGGGAGTCGAGAATCAAAGGTGAAGGAAAATGATGCATTGGAAGTCATTCCTGGATGCTTAAAGGGTGCCGCTACACTGTTCTCTTTTTTTAAAAAAACCCCTCTAAGCCTCCAGTCAGGTGGGGATGAGGCGTCGTCCTTTCTACCCAGACCTGTCAGGGCTGTTTCTGTCCTCTGATTCCGAGCTTTGAGAAGTGGTCGCGAAAATGTGGCTGTGGATGACTGTGTATTTCAGCCTTTGTGTGTATGTGTTGCCTGGCCTGGCCTGACTCTCCCGTAAAGCACGTTGGAACCTCCCAACTAAGAAGTGTCCATTTTATTGATTCAGGTCTCGAATTTACGTGGAAGGGAAAGTAGACTATGGTGAGTACACGGATAAAAATAACGTGAGACGACAGGCGACAACTATCATAGCAGGTAAGAACTTGTGATCACAGCTGTTCGTCCTCCTCTTCCCTGAAAGCCTGGCCATGTCGGAAGCGACTCTCCCTGGGGCTGTGAGAACCAGTGACTGGGAGATTAGGAGGCAGCAACCGGGAAGAATTCTGAGCGTGCTTACGGGCTGGCTCGGAGTTACTGCACATAACTTATTCCTGTCGAGTTATGCACCTGAGTGAGATTTGTGCAGGTGTGTCTGGAACCTCTTTGGTACTTAATGTACGGGTTATTTTGATAGTTTTTTATTGCTTTCTTTAAGCAAAAAGCAGCATAGAAAAGATGGGCACATAAAGTTTAAGGACGGTTGTGAAGATGCCCCCTAGAACGGAGTTTTCAGACCTTTTTGAAAATATGTTATAAAAGTTTTTGAGAATGATATACCCCTTTGGACATCTTCAAGTTGACATTAAAAATTTGTTCAGTATGAGAGTATCATATGACTTAAATGTATTAATGGAATCTGAATACCAGAGCCATTTAATATCGACCATTATCTTGTAAAAAATACACGAACTAGCTCTTCTTTAACAGTATTCCTTTCTCTTTGAACTTAGTTTTCCATTCCATTTCCCCTCAGAAGTTTTTCTTAATATATTGTGTAGTTGAGCCTTTTCTTATTCATCCTGTCATTTGTAACAGAAATACATATATAAGTAGAAATTGTAAAATATTTTTTAAAAGTTCTGTGACAGTTAAGGCTCTAAATGTTGTTTCTTCTCAATTGTGTTGTCATTACAATTGTTTTTAGTACACAATTGACCAAAACAATATGTTCAATATGTTAATACGTAAATATAAAAACAAATTTTATTGGAAATGCGTCTTGTGATGAGGTGGATGGTGCTTTTTTTCACCTCTTGGATAACTAAAATAAGACAGTGGTAAGCTTAAAGTCTGGTTTTTTTTTTTTTTTAATGGACATAAACTGAGAAACCTTGTTTTTATAAATAAGTAGGTGGGAATGGATGGAAATTTATCTTTACTAGTGTCTCAATGTTTTAAACTTCTGAGATATACCAAAATTACATGATGACATATTTAGAAATCAGTTTTTTATTATGGAAAATGTCACATTGATACAAAAGTAGAGACAGTAATGAACACATCAGCTCACTGTTTGGTGTCGGCAGTTATCAGCTGCTGTCTGCTGTTTCACCTGTGCTTCACGTACTTCTCTGGTACCCGGGCTATTTTGAAGCAAATCCCAGACAGCACATCATTTCATCCGTAGATAGTTCAGTGAGTATCTCTAAAAGGTAAAGGTTTATGAACACATAGCTACAATGCTATTATCTAATATTATGTAATATTAAGAAATTTTGTTAATTATATTTACCAAATATTATAATGTTCAAATTCCCCTCATTGCTTTATACATTACATTGTTTTACATGTACCTTAAGGTCTCTTTTCATCTATAGATTCCCCCTTTATCTCTTTCCGCTTGTTCAGAGTTCATATCTTATTCACTATGCCAAATTGATAAATCATAATTATAATATGTATTTTCTTACTGGTAAATTTCTTGGGACATAGGTTGACCTTGAAAACCAACATAGGTATCTTCTGTCCTTCATTATCAGACCTTATGCTAGTTCTTCCTTTCAATTTTGCTTTCCTACTTCTTGAGTGTCTTGAGAGTAAATCATTTCCTACCACCCTGTCCTTCATTTGGGCCGTGTTGCCAGAAATAGCTTCTTGAAATAGATGAATATCCAGACCTCTAGATGGTGTAGAACCACACCTGTAATTTCAGCTGTGGAAAATCAAGCTCACTGACAAAGTAGTTGACGTTTCTGAATCTCTCTAGATGCTTCATGTATTCAGAAAGCCCTTCCCACTTTCATTCCACCCTAAACCATGTGGGTGGGCTGACTTTGGAGTTGGTAGGGATAAAGCCAAGTGGAAACAGTTCAGGTTATCTGCTGTTTTGTGTTTTTCTTGTCACCAGCTTTCACTAGCATGGGTGACTGGGCAAACTATAGGTTTATGGCTAATAGTAAAAGTGAACAGATCTGCAGTGACATTTGCACTGAAGACAAAAGAATTTAATTGGGTTGCCATGTTTTCTAGGCCTTCGGTTTCCTTATAGGGATCATGTCTGTAACTTAAAAATATCCACCAGTGGATGGCGCTCTTGCCTTGTTACACAAAGGTGCCAATCTAATACTCTCCTCTGAAGTGACCTTTCTGTGGCAACATACTCTTCCAGAAGACTATAGACATGAACAGATACTCAGTCATATCCTATAGTACTAATCACTTTCTGTGCCAACATACTATTCTTCCAGAGGACTGTGGCATGAACAGATACTCAGTCATATACTATAGTACTAATCACTTTCTCTGCCAACATACTATTCTTCCAGAAGACTGTGGATATGAACAGATACTCAGTTATATACTATATAGTAAGAATTTTCAAGTTATAAGCATCTAGATCTTTTGGATATATACAGGACATACTACTTAATGTGTTTCCTTTGCTCATCCTAAACAAACCTCCTCTGGGACAGCATTTTAAGAGCAATGTCTGCTGTTTTTGGATAAAAATCCTTGCTGTATAATACTGATTAGTAGAAGTTTCCCAAGAATGAATATGTAAAAGTCATTCTATTTTAAAATTGAAAAATAAGTTTCTTCAATATGAGTTTTTACACTTACTTAAAAATGTAAAAATCTGTCACTGATAACGGGAACACACGCTGATCCCACCTTTTCCTCCGTACCTCCAGAGCACGGAATGGTACCTGTTGGGCCTCATCAGTGTGAGGCTGTGCTGCCTGCTTTAAGCACTGAAATCATCCAGTTCTGTGACCAGTGTTTTTGCAGGAAGTTGTTGCTTGGAAAACCTTATCTTGACTTCCTTAAGGGAAGGCAAGCAATAGCCCGCCGCATCTAATAAAGTCTGAATTTCTGGCCAAACAGCTGTATCCCAACTCTTAGCTCCATTTATGCCTGCTGTGTATACCTCTGATGAATGTAGCAAGGGTTTTAGAGAAACAAATTCTCAGATTCTCTAAAATCCCTTTAGCGACCAGCACTGAAGTTTGTATGTGTTAGAGGGGAGTGATTACGTGGGATAGAGAAAGAGTTCTGAAAGTAATGCTTCCTCTTTGGCTTCTTCACAGATAACATTATATTTCTGAGTGACCAGACAAAAGAGAAGGCATAGCGTGGACACGTCTTCTTTGGCCATTGTTTGGTACAGTCTCATTTCCAAATCATGTGTGGTCTTTATAGGACAGAAATTAAAATATCATTTTATAGAAAATGAATGATAATATTTTTCCTGATTACTGCTCCCTCTGTGGCCCGTGTCTGTTTGGCATTCTCTGGTTGTTCACTCCTTCAGGATGGTTTGCGTCTGCCAGCGTACAAGATAGTGGACTCCGGCTCGTCTCTCTGTGTCTTGGCAGAGGAATGAATGTCCTCGGGAAGGCATGCTTCTCCTGCAGTGTTCACTCAGCCCCTCTGTGTCACCGGGCTTCTCCTCGGCCGTAAACAGGGACGTTCTCACCTGTGTGCTCCGCCAGGCGCACAGAGACACTCAGTGTTGACAGGCACTTGATCCCAGTGGGATATAAACTCCAGTCCAGACTGAAGGGGGTTGCTGAACGGTGGTTGGTGTCTAACCTGAATGGCTTCAGGGCTAGCCTACCTTCTCCATGTTGTTTGTTTTTGGACAGTTTCACTAGTAGCATTTATAAAATGTGATTTCCCAACAGTGAAGACCTGAAATATAGTTGGTGGTGAGCTGATTCATCTTCAGGTGAGGAACCAGGCCTCTGGGTCCATATCCTAACTCTGTTTGCACCCGTTTGCTGTCCTTTCAAAATCCTCATCCAGAACTCTGGGGCAAGGCCTCTTTGTGCACTAACGGCCTGTTGCCTTGCTGCCCTTGGTTAGAGCCTTGGGTTTGTGGCATTGTCCTTGTATTGTCCCCCGTGGTCTTGATGTGCACACGCGTGCACACGCACGCACACACACGGTGGACACATAATTGCTTTCACTACGGGACTCAGAATTACAAAGTGCGAATGATTTACCAATAAAGACTGCATAAAGTAAGCTCAGATTTTCAGCACCTCTTTTACTTTTTAAAGCTCGGCTCAGTACTCCCCAGGCCTGCCTTCTCCCGGTTTGCTGCGGTTTCCCAGCAGCAGGCCCTGCTGAGCAGGTGGCCCCCTTCAAGCTGGAGGCCCCCCTCCCTCATCTTCCTCATCGAGCCAGCCGGCTCCCATCTTGGCCTCCAACCCAGCCTGTGTCTTCTGCCCCCGCCGGCTGTCTCCTCTCCCTCCGCCCGAGCGTGTGGGCTAACTGAACCACAGCAGGTTCAGAGTCCGCATGCTGTGTTCTGGGCCCTTTATTTATTTATTCTTAGGCATTTCCTGAGCACGTGAGCAGCTGTTTCTGTTTGCAGTGCAGTTTGGTTAAGGCAAGGTGGAGCTCTTCAGCTTTACCCTGTCTTTGCCCGGGAAGAGTAGAAAATTAATTGCTGGTTTCTCGTATTAGTAGGAGTCCCTGGGTGGTGCAGATGGCTAAGCACTCGACTACTAACTGAAAGGTTGGTGGTTCGAATCCACCCAAAGACACCTTGAAAGAAAGACCTGGTGATCTGTTTCCGAAAGTTAGCAGTCATTGAAAAGCTTGTGGAGAGCAGTTCTGCTCTGACCCGTAGGATCGCCATGAGTCGGAATTGACTCGACGGCAGCTGGCTTGGTTTTTGGATGATTGCTCTTTTATCAGCCACCTTTTTTTCTGTAGCTAGGACCGCTAGTCAGCACGTTAAATGCACTCTCCAAACTGACGCCTTTAAACCAACTGGTGATAGAGTCTGCACTCCTTCATGCCACGTTCCTTCTTTGTGCAAAATTAAAAGTAGGTAAAATTTTATCTTTTCGGCAACTCGTGCTGGCACCTGACTCCGCCCCCAACCTGTGCAGTGCGTCTGCTGAGACTAACGCCTGCTCGCCAGCCCGTGTCAGCCCGCGTGGACCTGGACTCTGGCAGCAGGAAGATCCGGTGGGGTCTCCTCATCCTCGTTTGGGCTCTGCGTCCCCCTTCTTCATGCTGCTGAGGTCGGCGAACAAACCTGCAGAAAGCTGCCCTGTGACTGGACCGGGGCTCCGTGTTTAATGGAAAGAGGAAGGAGTGTGATACTGAAGGGAGGAGAAAGGATCAGACGGAACGTGTGGTGTAATGTAATTCATGTAAGTATATGCTTAGAAGAGTCTGGAAGGATAAAGATCAAAATATGATTGTCTCTGGCTAGGGGATCGTGGGTGATTTTCCTTATTTCTTTACACTTTCGTATATCTTTTTTTTTTTTTTCAGCATTGCGCGTGTATTACTTTGATAATAAGAAAATGAATAAAGCTATTTTCATTATTTCCAAGCCAAGCTTGCTTTCCTCGCTCACCTCTGGCCACTTCCCCTTCTTGTACTGGGGGTGAACCAGACAAGCTTTCCTGTGCCTTCCCCGCCATCTGCGTCTTAGCAAATCAGGCTTGTATCCGTCCTTCACCAACCCAGGAGGATTCACCAGCCTGGGATGGTTCACCAGCCCGGGACGGTTCACCAGCCTGGGACGGTTCACCAACTCAGGAGGACAGTGTGAGAGACCAGCCTTATGAGATCCCTTTGGCTGCCAGTACAGCCCTCCAAGAGTCACCATTTCTCAAAGACGTTCAGAGTCATTTTCTGACGCTGTTTTGGGGAATTGCTTGTCCTTGCCAGCTGAGTGACAGCCCAGCCTTTGCAGTGCGGTTAGCTTGCCTTTGTTCCCTAAGGAGGTCATGAGGTCCTGGAAGGCAGGGCTGGGTCTCCTTCACACCGCCCACCTGCCCTGTCCCACTCAACCCCGTGCAGCAACGTCACCGGGCTGTGTACGGGTTTGCTGTTCAGGGAGTCGGATGGAACATTGGCATGGGGCACGCTACGTGTTTCTCCGTCGGGGCTAGTGGTGTGTGCGTCAAAACTAGGGGGCAAAGAGTGAGCAGAGCCTGTGGGCAGTGGGGGAGAATGGCATGGTTAATTAGCAGACAGGCCACAGTCAGCATAGTAATGACTGACGTTCATTGTGTGCTCACTGTGCCGGGACTGAGTGCTTGTTATGCCTTTTCTCATTTGACTGTTACTCTAAGAAGCAGGTACTGTCATCCTATTTTATAGATGAAGAAAGCGAGACAGAGGTTAACTTGTCACAGTCATGCAGTTTATGAGGGTAGGCCTGGAGTTTGAACTCAGGTGTGAAGTTTGTGTTTTGCTTTCTGCCCACTGCCTACCTCCAGCTGCTCTTGCACATGCACTGGCCCTCCACACTCACAGGCCCTTGCACACGCACTGGCACTCCACACACACAGGCCCTTGCACACGCACTGGCCCTCCACACTCAGGCCCTCGCACACGCACTGGCCCTCCACGCTCACAGGCCCTCGCACACGCACTGGCCCTCCACACTTACAGGCCCTTGCACACGCACCAGCCCTTCACACTCACAGGTCCTCCACACTCACAGGCCCTTGCACATGCACTGGCCCTCCACACTCACTGGCCCTTGCACACTCACTGGCCCTCCACACTCACTGGCCCTCGCACACACACTGGCCCTCCACACTCACAGGCCCTTGCACACGCACTGGCCCTCCACACTCACAGGCCCTTGCACACGCACTGGCCCTCCACACTCACAGGCCCTTGCACACATACTGGCCCTCCACACTCACAGGCCCTCCACACTCACAGGCCTTCACACACGCACTGGCCCTCCACACTCACTGGCCCTCCACGCTCAATGGCCCTACACGCTCACTGGCCCTCGCACGCGCACTGGCCCTGCACGCTCACAGGCCCTCGCACGCGCACTGGCCCTCCACGCTCACAGGCCCTCGCACGCGCCCTGGCCCTCCACGCTCACAGGCCCTCGCACGCGCCCTGGCCCTCCACGCTCACGGGCCCTCGCACGCGCCCTGGCC